AGACTGGGTCTGAGAAAAAAAACTATCCTTTCCCACCATCAAGCCATTACAACAAACATGTATTCAGAGTTTATTTTGTACTGGGCACTAAGTGATAAAGTTAAATGTATTAATTCAACAAACACTTATTGAACTCTTTGTATGTATCAGGCACTGTTCTAGGCACCGAAGATTCATTTAATGATGAGCCAAACAAAAGTTTTTTCTTCAGGGAATTAACATTGCACACAGGGATTTGGGAGGGAGGATATAGAAAGGGTGAGATCATAAGAAAATAAACAAATAATTAAACAATGTTTTCGTATTATGAAAAAATGCAATAAAAAGTAAAAGAAGACAATAGGGGAATGGAATTTGAGTGTAAAGGGCTACTTGTACTGAAACAGTCAAAGATTTTTTTGAGGCAGTGATGTTTAAGGGGAGACCTAAATGATGAGAAGGCAGCCACACAAAGATCCAGTAGTCCCTTATCCACTAGGGATACATTCCAAGACCCCCGGTGGATGCTGAAACTGTGGATATTACCAAATCCTATATATACTATGCTTCTTCAAGCTGATAATCAAGAATGTTAAGTGACTAATGAGTGGAGAATGGACTATGAGCACCAAGAACGGAAGCCCAGACATGAGTCAGGCTGTGATCCAGGACATAGGTGACAGGCACGCTAGGGCCAGAACAGTGCAGACAGTGAGAAGTGGCGGAATTCTGAACAGTTGGAGGCAGACCCATAGAGACTTGCTGATGGATTGGCTATTTGAGGAAAAAGAGGACTCAAGATAGCTCCTTGGTTTGGGGCCTGATCTCCCCTATAAATGCTGGTGTTATTCTAAATTGGAAAGATTAGAAGAGGAACAATTGTGATAGGGAAATCAAGAGTTCTATTTTAGCCAATAGAGCATAGATGCCCCTTAGACATATTAGACAATAGGTTTCTCCTGGTTCTAGAGAAACTGAAAGCTATTTACTTCTGCATTTATTTATTCAGCACAAATGTATTGTCAGGCACTGTTCTAGGTGCTGCAGCTAGCAGTGACCAAAACAGATTCAATCCCTGCCCTTGTGGGCTTACTCTAGCAAAGGAGATAAACAATAAACAAGTAAATAAATAAATATATTTAATATAATTTCAGGTGGTGATCAGTAGTATAAAGAGAATAAACATATTTAACTCATCCATATACTCAAAAACTACCTTCTTTTTACAAAGAAGGTAAAAAGTCTAGGCTGGGTGTCTAGTGATTAGCCAGAAACTAATCTCTAAAAGACACTAACATAAAATCTAGTATATAGACGACACAAAAAGAAGTGTCACAAAAAGATATTTATAAAGCACTAAGTTGAAAATAGAATGAGATCACTTTCAAATGGGATCATCGAACAAAGAAGAGCTAATGCAACTTGTGATATCTAAGCTGGGCCTCAAAGGAGAGATAGAATTTAGCTATATAGCAATGGCAGAGAAAAGTAGGAATGATGAACATTCCAAGTAGTAGGAATGGTTTAAATGGAAAACAGTTAACACTGAGAACACATTTTGGGAAAAGCATTGGATATATGAAGGGAAATGTATTAGTTATCTATTGCTAAGTAATAAACTGTGCCAAAACTTAGTAGCTTAAAATGATAAACATTTATTATCACTTATCTCTATGGGTCAGGAATCCAGGCTGGGCTTACCTGGTCCTCTGGCAAAGGTATTAGCTGGGATTACAGTCATTTCAAGGTTCATCCGGGCAGGATCTTCTTCCAAGCTTACTCATCTGACTGTTGGCAGGCCTCAGGTCTGGCCTGGTTGTTGCCAGAGACATCAGTTCCTTGCCATGTGGGCCTCTCCATAGGACAGTTCGTAACATGGCAGCTGGTTTCCCCCAAAGCAAATTAGGGCTGTGTGAGCAACAGAGAAGATGGAAGCCACAGTCTTTTTGTAACCTAATCTCAGAAGGGACATACCATCACTTTTACCACATAGAATTGCATCAGTAGGCCTAGCCCGTATTCAAGGAGAGGGGATTACAAATAGGCATGAATACTAGGAGGTGGGATTTATTGGGGGTCATCTCAAAGCTGCTTTCCACAAGGAATAATGGGAGATAAGAGTGGAAATACAGGGTGTGCCAGACCAAAGAAAGCCCTGGAAGCCTACCTGAGAATTAAAGTATTCCATTGGGAACGGAGGGTAGAAAGAAGCAAATTTAATGTTTAATGTTTAAGCCCACTTTTGGCAAATTGAAGTGTTGGAGAAATAGACTTGGGAGGGTCATCCTGAAGACCAGCTGTTTAACGAGTTGAGAGGGTTAACTAGTTACAGCCTGCAGGAAACAAAACCATTCATTTTATCAGGAAATAATGGTCAAACAATTGTACAGAAGATAGTTATCTACCCTCACTAAAAACTTCTAACAACCTAAGTTGACAATGCATTCCTAAAAATCCAGACTTGACAACTGATATTTGTGACTGTTTTTCTGTGTTGGGATAGGCTTAAGGTTTGTTTTCAGTAGCTTTTAAATTCTTTGACTGCTCCCAAACCACAGCAAGAAATACATTTTACATCACAACTCAGAATACACATATTTATAGATAATCAAAATAAAAGATTTACAGAATAATACTTGGTATTACTATATGTGGCATACTGAGTTTTGGGGGTTTTTTGTGCTATTCTGTTCTATTGCATTAAAGAAAATAAAAAGCTGGTAGTATTTCACTGAATTCATCACTATCCACCACTGGGTCCCATTTTGCAGTTTGAAAAATGCTGCTCTTCTAGAACATTAGATTAGCAATCAAACAGTCATAGCACTCCAACCAACAGACATTTGGTGAAATAGTTTCCCAGAAATTGGGTGAGGACACCATATCCCACAAATTTTAGCCCAAAGCAAAATTAACAATAGCCCAAAGGACATCAGGTCTCAGTTGAAAGCCACTTGAGTTAGCAGATGTGCTGCTGATTGGCCCTTGAAAAGAAGAATAAAAAAGTCAATAGAAAAATAAAATTTTTAACCCCTCTCCTTTTCTGTCATTTACTGTTCAAGTTCTGATCATACAGAGATCAGACCAAGATTAATCCTCCCAACACAGACACACACACACACACACACACACACACACGCACATGCACACACACCCTCGATTTTACAGGTATTGTGCTTCTCCTAAATATGTGCAATACAAACCACCAGAAAGTCCAAAGGACAAAAGATCCAGTTGCCACTGCAACTGGACAGCCATAACTACCAACCCTGAGGGCTTCCTTAGCACCTCTTACTGGGCAGAAGGATGGCTGGAGATACATCTGGAATGAAAAAGTGGTTTAAGACCTTTTGATTTTTATCAGTTGAAACCCGATATAAAGAAACTTCCTGGAACTCTTCTCTAACCCACCACTAGGAAGATTGTTCCGACAAGAAGAGTTGATTGGTGTTACTTGGCAATGTCTGTAAAAAGAAGATAACCAAGTTTTTTCAGCCCTAAATGTGAGTCAACTTCCAAACCTGCTCTCCGGGAGTTCACAATCTCATTGGGTAGACAATACTACGGAAAGACTTGAACAATTTCGAGTGCAAGACAGCACAGGTTTTTGAAGATCCTGCACCATATGGTTTAGAAAATAGTACCTGCAAAAAGAAGTCGGAGAAGGGAGGGATTAAGGCGTACTGAGCGAGGCTTTCCTGAGGCTCAATGACTAAGCCTTGAGTGATGGTGGCATTTGAGCAGGGTGAGGGGAGATTGGGCACGAAAGCAAGAAAGACTATTGTTTAAGTGAGACTGGTCTGACGAGAGTAGAAGGTTTGGGGTGGGGAACAAAGGAGTGTAAAGGGGAAATCGGGCCCTCCCTTGTCAATCACGAACAATGGTGCAGGCGAGGGCAGCTGAAGCCTCACGTGCCACGGAAATAAGCAGTTGTACAGATTTCCTCAGGAAAACATTGAAAGCAAAAATTGTGATCACACCCAACCCTTTCCTCTATGCCCTGCCCAATCTCTCCCACGTCCCCAAAAGGAAGAGAGCAGTAGGTCAAACTCGTTTGTTTATTCATTCATTCCACTAACATTTTTTTCTCCTAAGGGGTCTTTGTTTCCAGCAAGTGAAGGGCTCTTGCCTTTCCCGCAGCACCAAGTATTCCACAGCAAAGGGGCCCCCTAGTTGCATGGCTCAGCAAGACCACATCACCGCTGAAGGAAAAGACCAGGCTCGGTAGAAAGCATCTCAGGCCAGCATTCCAAGAAAGGCAGCGCCTGTGCTGAGCGTGGTGGTGGAGTAAGTGAAACAATGTGTCAGCGAAGGGAAAACTGGGGACTGCTAAACGGCCTCAGAAGCGCCGGGCCCCCGACCGGGGCCTCCTTGCAAGGGGTCTGGCTTGCTGGACATGTGGCTTTTCCCCTAGTAGGGTTTTCCACCTCCATACAAAAAGGATATCCCGAAACGGAGCTGCCAACCGACCTAATCAGGCTAGTTTTGAAGAGTGAAAGCTGGTCTCTAGGTGGAGAAGAAATAACGAGCACAGAAACCGACCATCAGGACAACCTTGCTGCCTTGGCCCACGTTGGCGAGCGAAAACCCCAACGTAAATCACAAAAACAACAATCGGGAAAGGGTTTGGTGGGCTGCATGTGTTCCCAAAAAGCCTGATGTGTCCCCCAAAAGCAAGGACTGCTGTTGACTCGTACGAAAGAAAATTCGAAGGAGATGGCTCCTTAAGACAATCGCATGTGTTGGGCACCAATTGGGGCTGAAATTAATAGGCACAGGGAAGTAGGGGGGTCGTTCAAGACTGTCCGGGAAGCTGGAGCGAGTGGGGTTTGGCTCAGCTGGAGGGTGGGGGGCGCCCGCTGTCGGGGCTGGGCCGCCTAGTCGGCCGCGGGGGGAGGGCGGCGGGGCGCCGGGCCCTTGCGGGGGGAGGGGGCAGGGGAGGCGGGGCCTCGCGCTGGGCGGGCCGGGGGCGGAGCCCAGGTGGTGTTGATACACAAAGGGAAGGCACCCTGGCGCCCGGCCCCGCCCACTGACGCGCCCGCCGGGGTGCCGCTATAACCCGCGGCTCGCGGGGCTGCTCCAGAGCCGCGCGACGCCACCGCACAGGAGCATCGCTGTCGCACCGCCGTCGGCAGCCCGACCACGCGTTCCCGCACACTCGCACCTCTCCCTTGACACGGCGGACGCCGGAGGATTGGGGCGGCAATTTGCCATTTCCTTTTTTAATTAAAATTATATTTCTTGCGTATTGTTGGATTTGGGGTTTTTTGGTTTTTTTTACGATTTTTATTTGACTGATAAAGACCCACTGAAGACGTGTGAGTGAGGTTTCCGGGATACAGGAGCGGAGACCACCGAGGTAACGCGTGCGGGGGACGTCTGTGCAAAGGGCGCGGGGCCCGGGTGGCAGTGGGGGAGGGGCGCTCGGGAGGGGCCGCCGCGGGAAGGCAGCTGCGGGGGCCGTTTCCTTTCGGGGCGGGCGTTTTGTTGGCCCGACCAGCCTTCGACCCTGGCTAGCCGACCCTGGCTAGCTGTAAGGGGGTCGCCGCCCGCGGGGCGGGGGCGGGCGGGGGGACGCGGGGCGAGGGCCGCGTGCCCGCCGGGTGCGGAGCCGCATCTTCCTGTTAGGGGGAGGGGAGCCAGCCCGGTCCGTGACTCTGCTGCGGCAAGTCTTGTGACTGATTTGCATTAATAAAAAAATTATTAAGTTCTGGGGACTAGGAATCTGGGGGAGGCAGAAGTGGGCTTAGGCTCTTGTTATAACAGAGGCCAAGATTAGGGAAGAAGGGTCGGGAACGTTTGACAACCGAGGATCGATATTGCATCAGTTTCCTTTCCGGGCATAGGAGGGGCGGGCCAGGCCAGGCACTCGCGGGCCAGATGCCGTGGTCGGGTGTGCTCGAGGGCACAGGCGTGCGTGTGTAAACAAACCCTCGCCGCCGGGCGGCCTTTCGCCCCTTTTCGAGAGAACAGGGGTAGTGTCATCACTTTCCGCGTCCGTCGGGGAGTGCTATCCGCCGCAGAGGCATTTCCCCCTCTGGGGGCTCGGGACAGTGCGAGGTTACGCGGCACTGCTGTTCCCAACGCTAGAAACGGGGACCGTGCTCCCTGCGTGCCCGTGCACGGTCAGAGCGGCTGCGGGAAAGCAAAACAGAGCCCCTTCGCCCCCTCCGCCCAGGCTCGGGACAATGGAGGGGGTGAAATACTAAAACCCGCTGGAGAGGGGGCCGCGGTGGGATCATCTTTGTTCTCGGCGGCTCCGCCGTCTGTACTTTTCCGCCCCTCGGCGCGCCCCCGCCCCTCGCGCGCGGCTGGTACTTTTCCACTCGCCTGGCTGGGGATGAATCAGCCGCGCTGCACCGCCCGGCGGCGTCACGTGACCGCGGCGGGCGGGCGCTGCAGTCCTGACGCGCCGCCTCTACCTTCGCAGGCGGCCGCGCGGGTCGGTGCACCGCCAAGGACAAAAGGAGCCCGGCGCTGCGAGCTGCACCCGATTCCTCCCAGTGCTCAGCATGAAGAAATCCGAAATGGGAAGGTTCAATATTTCTCCGGATGAGGACAGCAGCAGCTACAGTTCCAACAGCGACTTCAACTACTCCTACCCCACCAAGCAAGCTGCTCTCAAAAGGTGGGAGAAGTTGTGTGCACTTTTTAAAAAAACGGCTTGTGCAGAGTGGGGGGTTTGGGGGGGGCGGTTACCTAGGACTCTGCTTTTGTTGCTTTAATTTACCGTAGCATTTGGAGAGAGTGTGTAATCTCTAAAAGAGTATCCGGTTGTCTTCTTGTAATGACAGTATCGTGTGAAAGTTGACTCCTAGTTACTGTTTATACTTTTAAGTAAAGGTATAACGGAATTACTGTGTGGGGGGGTGCTATTTTATATGAAAGCAACCTGGTGTGTAGTTATATATACTTCAATCCAATTTACAATTACATATGGATATATTTTTTGCAGCCATTACGCAGATGTAGATCCTGAAAACCAGAACTTTTTACTTGAATCGAATTTGGGGAAGAAGAAGTATGAAACAGACTTTGTAAGTTGAAAATAATAATTTGTGTATCTGTGGCTTTGTGGAGTAAAAGAATAGTTTTACTTTTAGATTTCAAATCTGACTTGCCCAAAGCTGGTTTTCTCCATTTAATTATTGTTATATGTTTGGTTATCGTTTTCCCTCTATGTAGCATCCAGGTACTACTTCCTTTGGAATGTCAGTATTTAATCTGAGCAATGCGATTGTGGGCAGTGGAATCCTTGGGCTTTCTTATGCCATGGCTAATACTGGAATTGCTCTTTTTATGTAAGTATGTGTAAGTAGTGAGTCTGCCATGCAGGGCAGTTAATATGATGCTAAAACATATTTTGGCTCCAGGAACTGAATTTACAATTGAAGTAGTTGACTTAAAAATCATTTGCTTAAAAATAAAAGTACAAGAAACCCTGAAATCTCTTTATTCTACAACATGCTGCATAATATCAAGAAAGCCAATTAGATAGAAAAAAAATAGGGTAACACTTAAAACTGACAGATTAAGCCAGAAATCTCTTAAGTCAATGGGAACAGTGAAAACGAAGTTGTAACAGAAGGTGGATATTTAAAAAGAACTATTGATTAATCCAGGATACCTATAAATTTTATTCTGGCAAAATCAGAAGCTAAAAATATCAATAAGCATGGTGCCTCCAAATCAGTTTGGTAAATTGACAAAGTCTCTCCAAGGACATGTGACCCTTACATACATAAGGAAAAGAAAATTCTTATGAATATATAGGGTGCGGTGGTATTTACCTAGTCTGGAACATGCTTAAGACAAGTGAGTCATAATTTTCTAGATACTGAAAAGCAATCTATATGGGCTTTTTTTTTTTCTGAGACAGGGTCTCACTCTGTTGCCCAGGCTAGAGTGAGTGCTGTGGTGTCATCCTAGCTCACAGCAACCTCAAACTCCTGGGCTCAAGCAATCCTTCTGCCTCAGCCTCCCGAATAGCTGGGACTACAGGCATGCGCCACCATGCCCGGCTAAGTTTTTCTATATATTTTTAGTTGTCCGATTAATTTCTTTCTAATTTTAGTAGACACGGGGTCTCGCTCTTGCTCAGGCTGGTCTCGAACTCCTGAGCTCAAACAATCCACCAGCCTCGGCCTCCCAGAGTGCTAGGGTTACAGGCGTGAGCCACCGCGCCTGGCCCGGGCTTTTTTTTAATGTTTGGTTTTTTTCCACATTTGTGTGATTACCATGTGCTGTGGCGAAAAAAAAAAGTATTTTAATAAATACCTAAAACCCACTAATTGCACAGTTAAAATTAGTTATTTCTGTGCTTTCCAGCATAAATACCTGAATAGGATTTTGGAGGTACAGAAGAAGCCTTTATAGAGCAGTGGTTCTTAACATTATGGGGTCAATGACCCTTGGAAAACATGATGGAAAAATATGTCTTATGACCTTATTTTCAGGAAAAATGCACAAAACAAAAATATGTGCAGGTTTGCGCATGTATTTTTCAATGATGTTTGTGTCATAGCCGTTCAATTTAAGCACCTGTGGACTCCTAGCTAGGGCAATATCTACGCAGGATCGTGTAACTTAATACCTTCATTGCGCAGATGAAGAAACCACACGTACATAGCATGGAATTGTCCCTTTGTGACAGATGTGTTTTAGTTAGCTGACTGGTGCCTTCTACTCAAGTTATTTTTCTCCAGCACGATAGAATGTTCATGAAAAGAAAAGCAGACCTTTGCAAAGCTCTGCTTTGTGAAATTCCACACTGAGATTAAGCCTGGCTTTGAGTAGTAGAAGCTAGGATTCAGTCTGGCTTGTTTCATTAGAATGAGGCTTTTTGAGACGTCTTACTAAGGTGAAGAACCAGGGATTTACATAGAAAGAATCCTAGAATTTCAAAGTTTTTAGTGGGGAACTTGAATGGCATCACTGTTGAATGTTTGAAACCCTCCCTAGTTCTTAGTATAAAAACCGGAGGCAGTTTTAATTAAAATACAACCAATGTGGTTATAGTACAAAATTCAAATGAGATAAAATGGTACCTCTTGTTTCATAAGTGAAAGCAAAATTCTGATGTTACCCTTGTACTCTTGGAATTATTTATACTTTAATAGTTGCTTATGTTTTCTGATTAACTGTTTTAATAAATGGCTGAACAATATCAATATTGCTAAAGTGAGTTTTTATTCATCAGTATTTTCATTATATTTAGAGGTACAGAGGTAAATGGGCCACAAGCCACGTGGCTGCCACAGTCCACTTCACTCCGTAGCTAACTTTTTTAAGTAGATTCAATCTTGAGATTGAAAGTGACCGCAAAGGTTATAAAGTCCATTTATCCCTTGTTGTCATTTCAGTGTAAGACATGGGAGTACTTAATTTGGTTTAATTGTTTTTAATTAAACCAACAACTTTTTTTCCAATTAGAGGGGAGGCTGATACATCACCTCAACCTAGACCCCGTAAAACTTCTGGCATTAGAATGATAGCTTAATGTCACTTACTCTATTTAACTAATAGACATCAGTTTCTTTGCCAGCACCTCTCTTGGTGCTAATTTGCCCATACAGAATCAAAGTACATGTGACTGTCTCCTTCTTTGCGGGATTTTCTGTGAGTTTCCCTGGTTCTTTGTTCCAGGGAATAAAAGTACTATCTCTCTTGGCTATCTTGGGTAGAAGGAAAGTGAAGCTGGAAGAAAGAGAGGGAGGGTATGGCAGAGAGAACCCCTACCCTAAAGGAAAACTGGATGACTTTAGGTTCCCTTTAGTTCCTTTCTGTTATTCTAATTTTGCTTTTTCCTGCTCAATCCAAGAGAAGGGGTTAAGGGAGGAGACAGACAATTGGTCTAATAGCCTACTTGTTCTAGCACAGGCATTGTTTAACTTGTGACAATGCTGGGCCTGTATTCCTCACCACTGGGTGCGATGTAGTATATCATCACAGTGGTTAGTTCTCTGATTTGTGCCTACTTATTAGTAAAGCTTGTAGTGCCTGACACTTAAAATGTTAGTATCGTTTCCCCGTTTCCATTGCTCTCCTTATCTGTACAGTCCATGTGGTCTCAAGACCTTTCCTGAACTTATCTTAGTCGAATTTCGTAAGAACCTTGTGGGCTGGGTTTAGTGGCGGGTATTACCGACATTTTACAGATAATGGAAACTATTAAAATGCAGAGAAGTGGCAAGCATACAACTAATTCTGTTGCCACCGTCAAAATACAAGTCTTATAACTCCACCACTAGGTAGCTGGGCTTCCTAGCGTCTCACGCTGTATGTTTGGCTCAGTGGGTATGTCCTTACTCCTAACTAATACTATAGAATTATCACCTGAAACGATGCAAGTTTTTAGTGCCAGGTGAGAAACAATGTTGACACTCCAGCTAGCAGGAGAGAAAATGACAGTTTTGGGGGGCATTTTGGCATAAATAGATCAAGTTCATATATAATGTTATTTAAACAGCCAAAAAGCGTTGTCTTTGAGTAGAGCTGTGCTGGTTTATAACCCTGTGCCTTTTCCCTTCTCTCATCAGAATTCTCTTGACATTTGTGTCAATATTGTCCCTGTATTCTGTTCATCTCCTTTTGAAGACTGCCAATGAAGGAGGTATGTTAACATTCTTGATTTTTCTAAAACATTTTATACCTATTATGATTTTCTACCTCTTATGAAATACTTGCTCCATGCTCCTGTGTTCTTCAATTGTAGGGTCTTTGTTATATGAACAATTGGGACATAAGGCATTTGGATTGGTTGGAAAGCTTGCAGCCTCTGGATCAATTACAATGCAGAACATTGGAGGTAAGAATTTTTTAAAAGACAATTTGGGTAGGCTTATTGCTCATTTTGTAGCACAGAGTGGTGGCACATGAGTTTTAGTGTCACATTGCCACATTTTGCACTTGTAATGGTATAATTTTGTTTTCCTCCAGCTATGTCAAGCTACCTCTTCATAGTGAAATATGAGTTACCTTTGGTGATCAAGGCGTTAATGAACATTGAAGATACAACTGGGTAGGTGCTAAGTAAGGTTACTCATAAGAAACAATTATAGTATAAAATAGTTAGCTACATTTTATCAAAGTTGGATACAAAACGATTACCAGTAAATTATCCATAATTTATGCCTGTTGAAACTGACCAAGAAGTCCCCCATAAACTGATTTGAACTTATGAGAATGAAAGGCCGAAAGGTAGTAGCTAGCCTTATAACTCTGGATATCTCATTTCTAACCTGTGTGTGAAAACAGGTTTTCTAGAACTTGCTTTTTCTCTTTATATTCACACTTAAGAAGAAATTATAACTATTTAATATATAACCAACCCAAGTTACAACTGAATCTTTGAACTACATTAAAAATTAATCCCTGTCCAACTTTTGTAAGTTTAATGCAGAATATAGGTTGAGCATCCTTAATTCAAAACGCTTCAAAATCTGAAATCTTTTTGAGTGCCAACATGATACCACAAGTGGAAAATTACACACCTGATCTCATGTGACAGGTGCACAAAACTATTAAAAATATTGTATAAAATTACCTTCAGGCTATGTGTTTAAGGCATATATAAAACAAATGAATTTTGTGTTTAGACTTAGGTCCCGCCCCCAAGATATCCTTTTATGTAAATGTAAATATTCTAAAATCTGAAACACTTCTGGTCCCAAGCATTTTGGATGAGAGATACTCAACCTGTGCCAAAAAATGTATGGCCATGTTGTAGAAACCTTATTCTTCTAGCACAATTATTCATCCCAGTGGACTAACAGATTCTATCTAAAGCAAACAGGGGGGAGAGGGATAATTTACTTCCCAACTTGCACGCAGTTCATTACCTCAAAATAGAGAGGCGTGGTTATCACTGGCATGGCTTTAGAAGTTTAATTTAATAAGCTGATCTTTGAGTATTTGTTTTCTGTGGACTCTTGGTTGCTGAAGTGATTAGAATATAATTTGCAGGGCAGTTAGTTAGGATTTGAAAATAACAATTTAAAAGAGAGTCTAATTCATGATTATCTGAAAAGGAAAAGGCAGTGCTAGAACTCTCAGGAAACATACATAATATTTTCTATTAAGTTCAAAAGGGATCTTTTGACTATTTTTGTAATAAAGGTGGTTCAAAGTGTCACAACATACTCTGGAAACCTGGAATAAGTCCTGGTTTAGGGGATTGAGTTTTGTATTTTTTGCCTATACATTTTATCTAAGGATGAAAAAAATTTCCTTGTTGAAATATTTAGTAAAAACATTTGCTAACAAATGTCTGGGGGAAAAAACCTTGTTTTAAAATTTTCTTGTTTCCAGGATCAGAAATTGCATGCTAAAGCTGTAACAGAGTTGGTGTACAATTTTTCTAAAAGTGCTTAAAGATAAGATTACTGGCTTTACAAAGCAGCTTTGTTCTCTATGTCAGTATCAACCCTTTAAGAAGCATTTTGTGTTATGAATCAGCTGGCAGTCTTCCCAGAGCAAACAGTGGGACAAAAGTTACACTGTTTCATATCACATTTCTAACCTGAGTGAATATTCATCTAGCACATAAAGTTCAAAAGTTATTCCTGTCTTGAACAAGGGATACTTTTTCCAAATGTCTTTTTTTGGTTTGTTTTCATATTTCTATAAAATGAGTCCTGTTAGAACATGCATATATTATAATGAGGATATTTGTGACTGGTTTTGACGGTGTTTCTCTTTTCTTTAATTCAGATTGTGGTATCTGAATGGTGACTATTTGGTCCTGTTGGTGTCATTGGTGCTCATTCTTCCTTTGTCGATGCTGAGAAATTTAGGTGAGCAAACCCATCTCTAAAGAGAATTGAAATGAGCCTTTCACCAGCTAGTTGGTTTTCTCTTAATGGAAATTAATGGGAGATAAAAAGCCCTAAAAACATAGCTTTACGAGTTGCGGTTTGCAAGACCCTTTGGTTCTTTCAAAATCCTAGCAGGATTGCTACCAAGGAGCCAAAATATTTTATTGACATAATACCTTGTGCTTTGTAAGTAATAGTACAAATGATGGTTTTTATTATTTTGGTTATAAGTATATTTAAATCATTTCGTATCTTAGTGTTTAAGAATTAGAAATTTAATACTGTACCCACACTTGAGTGCCTAACCTCTTCCCAGCAGAATCGAGTGAGTTTATTCAGTGGAGAAATATATTTGCCCTAAATCCATTTTATTAAACTAATACTGATATTGCCCCCCTTTTAGGATATTTGGGATATACCAGTGGCCTTTCCTTGTTGTGTATGATGTTCTTTCTGATTGTGGTAGGTATTTTTTTTTTTTTAAGAAAATGGTTTTTTTGAGCCCTGTCATGTTATTCAGTTTTAACAAATGCAAAATAATATATTTTCAGGTGATTTGCAAGAAATTTCAGATTCCTTGTCCTGTGGAAGCTGCTTTGATAATTAATGAAACCATAAACAACACTTTGACACAGCCAACATCTTTTGCATCTGATTTGTCATTTAACATGACTGAAGATGATTCTTGCAGACCACGCTATTTTATTTTCAACTCACAGGTAACTAAATATAATGTTTGTTTTCTCAAAGGAATATTTTAGGGAAGAAAAGAGGGCAACCATTCACTGGAAATTTTAAAATAACTCCCAAGGGTAAAGGGAGGAGAGATAAGAGGTGCTTTTTAGAAAGCATGTAATTAGTGAATTTTTGAAGACTGTGAAAAAGTTTTGGTTCTATCTTAAAATAGATTGAGAAATGAAGTAATCATATAGTATTAATAATCGACACATTCAGAAGTTAGGGTATTGATTATACTTGAACAGATTTGAAAAATGGAAGCTATTTATGCAAGGGAAACTATTTCAGACTTTGATTCTACGATTCTATATAAAATATAAGCTGTAGAACTGTGACAGCACATGAATTTGTATATCAGGATATTAAATAGATCCCCACTTTTTTCCAGACTGTCTATGCTGTGCCAATTCTGACCTTTTCATTTGTCTGTCATCCTGCTATTCTTCCCATCTATGAAGAGCTGAAGGGGTGAGTACTTTATCTATTTTTATATAGATTTGTTGGGGAAATACTGGAGTACTGCTATAACTATTGCTAAAATACATATTTGAATTTTCTTTTGAATTTACATAGCCGCAGCCGTCGAAGAATGATGAATGTGTCCAAGATTTCATTTTTTGCTATGTATCTCATGTATCTGCTTGCTGCCCTCTTTGGATACCTGACATTTTATGGTAAATAATACCTAGTTTACCGCTCCTCCCCCCCAAAAAATCTACTTTTCTATATAGAGTTCTATTACTTTAAAAATTCAGTCTGTTTTGATATTGTGATGAGAAATTGAATTTAAAGCTTAGAATTCCCTGCGTTGTATTTGATCAGTAACTTCTAGTATCCAGGTTCAAAAACATACCATTAGTCGTCTGATGGCATGTGTATATGATGTTCTTGCTTCTAAATTCATCTTGCCTGTCCCCCCTCTCATCACTTTCACACTGTATTACACACACACAAACTGTAAGCCAAACTATGAGATTTAGCTGTTTAGCTCCTGTTGTTTTTAATGGGAGTCATGTGGCTAAATCTCTATGTGGTATTTAGAAAAATTTTCCTTCAATGTTATTTTAATTGCATTAACCATAACTAATCTTATTAGCCTCTTAGTTTATAATCATTTTGTGAGTAGCTAATAACTGTGGTGCAAATTTCACTGAAAAATTTTCTACTTGATTGCCAGAGAAAACTGCACATTTAAAGCTTTTTTGGTCTTTCCCCTTAGAACATGTTGAGTCAGAATTGCTTCATACCTACTCTGCTGTCGTGGGAATGGATATTCTTCTTCTCATTGTCCGTTTGGCTGTGTTAGTGGCTGTCACTCTGACAGTGCCAGTAGTTATTTTCCCGGTAAGTAGTCACCTTCCCTGCTTTCAGTAGAAATGAGTTTTTAAATGTGAAGATTTGTGAGATTTTCATCATCTGGGAAAAGGGAAATACCAGTAGAGCAAAACCAAGTTGGTGATGGTTTTGAAGGGGCTTTTTAAAAATAAATTGTTTATTTTCAGAACATCCTGGGGCATTTTTCTGTAATTGAAGATACACAATGATCTTTGTGTTCTGATGTTCAGAAAACAGTAGCAGAGGATTTTACTTTAGAAATAGTTGCTGTTTTAGATCTAGTCCCTGTTACTTGGGCCTTCTTTGCATTAATTAAAGCTGGATTTTAAAAATTTACCATTTTATTTTATTTTTGTGCAGATCCGGAGTTCCGTAACTCACTTGTTGTGTGCCTCAAAAGATTTCAGTTGGTGGCGTCATAGTGTCATTACAGTGGCTATCTTGGCATTTACCAATATGCTTGTCATCTTTGTCCCAACTATTAGGGATATCTTTGGTTTCATTGGTAAGTTTTAGAAAGTATCAAAGTTGGTTCAAATACCAAGGATTTTAAGGTTTGAAAAATTAATGACAAGTGATTCATTGAATTCTCAAGAAGTGGTTAATGTTCTTTTCCAGGTGCATCTGCAGCTGCTATGTTGATTTTTATTCTTCCATCTGCCTTCTATATCAAGTTAGTGAAGAAAGAACCTATGAAATCTGTACAAAAGATTGGGGTGAGTGAAAGATTATGACTAGTAATATCAAAAATTCTCCTAACTGATTTTAATTTTAGCCTCTTAGCCATCACTCGATGCAGTTTTTTTGCTAAGTTCCTAGTAAACATACTTCACGGATAGAAGATTGGGGTGAGGAGGTGAGGTGAAAGATAGTTTGTCATCTAAATAAATACTCAAGTTAATTGCAAGAAAGTTATAAGATACTTTGGAGATAGGAATATAGATGATGAGCAGGGTAAGATGCTGACCCAGCTTTCAACATTTATTCAGCCAGTGTTTCTTGGACTGCCTACTGTGCGACAGGCACTAACATGGGTATTGAGTATATAAAAGAAAAAGATGGGCTATTTAGTTGAGTGAGACTATCTTCAAAGCAAAACTATGGAGGGCCTTCACTCCATAGTGTTCACTGTTAAATGCTTACTCTAAAGTATAGTAACAGCTAATTACAAAGAGTATGATGTGCTAACCACAAATGATGTGATTCTGGTACCAAAATCTGGGTGGTGATATTTAGGAAAAAGACTGCTTTTCAGTCATTATTTTCCACCACCTTTCTGGTCCAATTAAAGTCCTAGAATTGTTTATAAACCAACAACTGTCATCTTGGTGTACTCAAAATTACATAGTGGCAATAATTGAAGGGTAAGATTAGGAGTAAACTTACTCAGTGTCTCTTAGAAAGAGTTCTGACTTTGACTCGGGCTGCATTTTAGGATGACTTGGGTTTGATTATGCAACTTAATTTTTGCTCTAAAAATTTGGAAAAAAAACAGTCCAGCTCTATATGAAGTACTTTATTCAGCAAGAAAATTCCCTTTTCATTTGAGACAAAGGAATGAATGAAAGGGTGTGAAAGTTCAGAAGGCTTCAAAGGTACAGTTACTTTGCACTATAGCTAACTCGATTGCTTAAAACAGTTTATATTTAGCAAGGTGTGATTTTAGTTCTGTAGAACGTTATGTAGTAGAGGTAACTTCAGTAATTATGAGCCATTTCGAAAAGTAGAAAGAGGGATGTTTAGCTTGTATGTTGTGTTGCTTGCTGACCGGTTTTCTCTATGTGTGCGTTGCAGGCTCTGTTCTTCCTGTTGAGTGGCATAGTGGTGATGATCGGAAGCATGACCTTGATTGTTTTGGATTGGGTACACAATGCCCCCGGAGGTGGCCATTAACCTGTACCACTCACTCAGTCCATCTGATGCCAGTGTTGAGTCAACTCAACTACTATGAAATTTCACCTAATGTTTTCAGTTTCACTTCCTTTTGAAGTGCAGATTCCTCGCTGGTTCTTCTGAGTGCAGAATAAGTGAACTCTTTTTTTTTTTAATTTTTTTTTAAGAAACTTATATCTGTATGTTAGAAATGGATATGAACAACAAAACCACGAGTCTCGGGTTAAGGGAAGTGACAATTTTATTCCATTCCAGAGAATGGACGAACTCTTAACTTTTATGAAGCCACATGTTTGGCTGTGTCATTGTTTAACTTGGATATTTTATGATTTTACTTGAATGTGCCTAATGGAACCATTCGATGTGAAAAACAATTCTTCTTAATTTACAGCAAAGTATTGAAATAACCATTGAGAAAAACACTATTATTTTTTGTACCAAAAATACTTAAAGACCTCAGAAGCACTATTTTACTTTTAAGAAATTGCTTTTTTTGAACTTTATCCAGAAACAGTTGTCAGTAAGTTCCGTAAAAGAATTTCATTGGTATTTAAAAGTGAATATTAGTATTATGAAATGATTTGCCTTTTTGTAGTTAGAAATTCTTTGATAAATTGCTCTTTACCATTTTCTTTGTTCTCACTCTAGTTCCTATTAATCAGATATTTTGAATTTCTACATTTATCTTCTCTAATTTTCCCTCTCTCTCAGTCTTTTATTCTAGTCTTTAGAAAAGACTGTTGTTTTTAGTTTAAAAATCAGTTATATTTTTAATTTGTAAGCATTACTTCTTGCTTTCTGATTGGTTCTCTCCATAGCTTTCACAAAATGTTTCTTGCATTTTTTTCATTTTATTATTTCTTAAGTAAATTAACAAATATATGTGAAGTCTTCTCCTAGTTCTTATTTTGTATCTGATCCCCATCTGTTTTGTTCTGTCTTTCACGTTAAAGGCATTCCTCAAATCTCTATTTTATGGCTGCCCAATTCATATTTAATATGAGCTTCACTAAAGCTGGTTTGGATTTTTTGGTTTCAGTAACTGAT